ATGTGGGTCAGGAGTCCGGGTTCTGCGCTCTGCACCTTTGGGGAGTGGCCGGCGTTTCGGTGGGGCCTTTGTTGTCGGTTCCTTTTGGCGTTTTCCGAGACAGTTTGCTTTGTGTTTCCCTTCCCACCGCTCCCAGCCCGTTTCGGAGCCTCCCCGATGGGAGAGCCCACAGGCTCCTGCCTCATCTCACCCCGGAGCCGGCGGGGCGCCGGGAGGAAGTGCCCAGGGGGTCGGGGTGAGGACGCAGAGACCTGGGCATGGGAAAGACTTTGGTCAGATCCGCAATCCTGCCAGACATGGGCACCCTGGTTTGACAAGACATAGGACAGGAAAAAGCACATTTTTCTTTTCTCTTTTAAATCACTTTTTTTTTCCTTGACAAATTTTATGGGTCAAACTGAAGGTAAGCCTCTGCCCCAGTGTGTGGACTTGGATGGGGTTTTGTGGACTCCGGGTGGCTCTGCCCTGGGACCCCCGTGCTGTTCCCGGGAGAACTCGCTCTGCCTCAGGATGTGACTGAGGAATGGTCACAGAGGCCAACTCCTAAGAAACACACACTTTCACTTCTTTTGTTCTGCAAAGATGTCAGTTGCATCATTAATATGAATATCTGAATACGAGTTTACTCATTAATTTCTTTCACGGAAGAAGTCCTTAATGTAATTACTGGAACCAGGAACTATGGAATTAAAGCAATGATTCCAGGGGCCATAAAGTATAAATGTGAAAGTCCCCCCACCCTCTGGAGGCTGCCAGATAAGATACAATCCATTCTGTATAAATGTTTCTTCTGAGACCAAAAAAAGGTTAAAAGTGTGGTGTGTTTTTTTGTTGTTGTTTTGTGGGGATTTTTTTTTGGGGGGGGGCAGTTGGTGATGGTGGTGTCATTTGTGTTTTAAGACAAGTAGGAAACAGCCCAACTCTAAGGTTTATCAGAAATCTTGTGTGCTTCAGACAGAATTATGCAGGAGAGGTCAGGCATTGCTATTGAGGACAAGGCAGTTGGGCTGATCTTAAACTCAGGGTGTTAAAAGTGGTAAAACTGAAAAATTAAAAAACTTAACCTTAATGGATATTAGTATGAAAAGATCATTAGAATAATAGCGACCTACAGCTTGGACATACCTGGCTGTTCAGTAATGAAAGGTGGATGCTGGTATGTGCAAGTCAGCAGGTGTTGTTATTGTTAATTTTAGAAAAATAGGCTTTCTTCTTGCCAAGTCATCTTTTCCTGATCATGGATACTGTATATAACTGTTCATGTCTCGTGGAAAACCTTCTTGAGTTTAATCCAGGTTCAGCTAGTCAACAAACATTTATTATGCGCCTTTTAAATATTAAGCACTGAAAGTATTGTAGGAAGGAGATTCCTGCCCTCACATAATGTACAGTTTGGTGGGAGAAGCAATATAAGTAGTCTCGATAATGGCGTGCTGTTAGGGCACTAAGGAGAGTCATCACTTCAGACCAAAGTTCGGGCCCTGGAGAAAGGTCTGGGGAACCTGAGTGGTTATGAAGAAACCTTCCTACGTCAACGTGGTGGGAGGTAGGAGTGCGTAAGAGTTGGTGGGAGTTGAGGCGGGGAGCCAGCCAGAGGCACTAACTCCCCAAGGACCCTGCTTGCCGTTCCTAAGGCTGGATTTTGTCCTAAAGGCTGCAGGAAGGAGGGGTTTCTCTACTGAGATGTAAAGGCGGGGTTAGAGTGGTGTGAGGCTCACCAGAGGGCGATTATAATAATCCAGAGGGAGATAAAGGCCTGAGTACAAGCAGCGTGATATGAGGAGAGGACATTTTCATGAGCCAATTAGAAAATAAATTTGATAGGGCTTGGAAATGGATTTGCTGTGGACTTGAAAGAGGGAGTGTATGATGATCCTGAGGTTTGGGGTTTGGGAAGCTGGGCATATTTTTGGAAAATGGGGCTTTTCCCAGAGGAAGAATATGGGATGAGGGATGGGAATCTTGGAGGAGGAAGACAATGAAGTTACTTTTGGATGTTGAGTCTAAGATGCTGTGGACACATCCCAGTAGAAATGGGCAGAAGACAGCTGGGGAGATGGTGCTGGAGGTAAGAACATTCTGGTTGGAAACACAGATATGGGAGTCTTTAAAACTGTGGATTGCCCGGATGAGGTCACCAAGCGATAGTGTACTGAAGGAACTAGCAGGGCCAAGGACAGAACTGCAGGGTGTACGGACCCCGAGAACGGGGCTTGATGGCTAAGAGAAGAACCACGAGAGAGTGTGGTGTCTCGGAAACCAAGCGAGAATGGAGTTTTAGGGGAGAGCAAGTGGTTAATGGTGTCAGATGAAGGGACATTGGGTATAAGAAGGACACACTGGATTTGACCATTGGAATGTCTTTGGTAGCCCTTGGGTAGGAATGAACACAGAAGAAGAAGAAACCTCAGTAATTTGCACCCCCATTGCAATAAATGGCAGCACCATCTGTCTGGTTGCTCAAGCCAGAAACCTAGTCCATCCTTGATTCCTCCTTATCCTTCATCCTCCACATCCAATCAGTTCTCCTATCTCCCAAATGCATCTGGAATTCACCCACCCCTTTCTCATCAGTGGCCCACTCCTAGCATTTTAGTCAAAATCCCTGCCATTTTTGCCTGTATTACTGTGCTAGCCTCCCAGCTGTGTCCCAATGTCCCCCCTCTTGCCTCTTTTTTAAAAAAAATCCTCATCTGAGGATATGCTTATTGACGAGAGAGAGAGAGAGAGAGAGAGAGAGAGAGAGAGAGAGAGACTCAGTTGCCTCCTGTATGCATCCGGACCAGGGATCCAAACCACAATCTAGGCATGTGCCCTGACTGGGAATCAAACCCGCAACCTGTTGGTGTGCAGGACTTTGCTCTAAGCAAGGAGGCACCTGCTTAGGGCCCCTTGGACTCTTTTTAATCCATTCTTCACACAACTGCAAGAATTATTGTTATTAAAATGCAAATCAGATCATGTTGCTTTCTTGTTTAAAATCCTTAAACAGGAAATCCTTTTCCATTGCCGGCCACTGCCATCCCAGCTTCTCCGTGTGCCTGCGGTGGGCTGTGTGATCCTGTGTCTGTCTTCCCCTCTGACGCTCCGCCTGCTGCCTCTTGCCCTCCCTGCCATCTTTCTGCTCTTTGCTCATTCCCACCTCCTCCTTTGCACTTGGAATGCTCTTTCCCCAGAACCACCCAGTGCTGTCTCCTCTTCATTTTGGCATAAATGTCACTTCCTCAGAGGGACCTTCTCCAACCACCTTAGCCACAGGAGTTCCCTGTTAGCATTTCCTGGCCCTTTGCTTCCTTATTGTGATTTCTAACTTGTTGGTGTTTTTTTTCTTGTTCCCTCCACTAGAATCCAGGGTGGACACCATGGTTGTCTTGTTCATAGAAGTGTCTCTAGTGCTTTGCTTCATGCGTATGATAGATGCTAATACGTAGTTATTAAATGTCAGGGGGCTGTAGACCTGTCTTGATAACAGTTTGTTAATAGTTTGTAATATGTAGTTAGAATTATTGTCGGCACTCAATAATTGTTTATTGGGAGAAGGAATATTTTTCCGAAGTGTGATTTCATGCATTATCTGATTATTTTCATTCTTTACCGTTTCTTATTTCTTCAGAGACGTACAGAATGAATGAACTAACATTCTTTAACTACTTTAGACACATAGCTTTGGAATGACTAGTTATTTCATACTTAAATTATTTTTTAATTATATTTATTAATTTCAGAGAGGATGGGAGAGGGAGAGAGAGATACAAATATCAATGATGATGGAGAATCGTTGATTGGCTGCCTCCTGCACATCCCTCACTGGGGATCCAGCTCACAACCAGGCATGTGCCCTTGACTGGAATCGAACTTGGGACCCCGCAGTCGGCAGGCCGCCGCTCTATCCACTGAGCCAAACCAGCTGGGGCTTAAATTATTTTATCATGTTTGTGGTGGCACCTAAGCATTTTATCAATAGGACTTTTCTATATTAAAAATATTTTATTTTAATCCTCACTGGAGGTATGAGAATATTTTTTCCATTGATTTTTAAAGAGATAGGGAGGAGGGAAGGGGAGGGAGAGAGAAGAGAGAGAAACATAGATGTGAGAGAGACACATCAATTGTTTGTTTGTTTAGAGAGAGAGGAAGGGAGAGGGACAGATAGAAACATTGATGAGGGAGAAACGTCATCAATCTGCTGCCTTCTGACTGCCCCCTGTTGGGGATGGGGCCTGGACCCCAGGCATGTGCCCTGACCGGCAATGGAGCCAGTGACCTCTTGGTTCATGGGTTGATGCTCAGCCACTGAGCCACACTGACCGGGACCTACTGAGTTTTAAAAATGTGATTTCATTGGAAAAAACTTAATATACACAGATTTTTACAAATCGTATTTCTACACGCCCCCCCCCCCCATCTAGAAAATGCTGACCTACCCGCGAAATGTTCCTCACCTTCCTTTCTGTCCCCACTGAGCTGCTTTCCTTCATTCAGTCGCATTTCTCCTGCGTGATTAGAATCTGCCCATTGGAGCCTGAAGGCATTTTTATTTAAATTGTATCTTTTATTTGAGAGGTTGACTTCTCTAAGTACATGCATCTCAGGTGTCCCTAAACCTTGGAAAAATTTTACTCTTGCTTCTAAGACCACTGGTGTCATTTAAAAGAGAATAAACGGCTTGCTTTGGCATAGAACTCATTATAGATGAGTTTGGTCTTTAACCCCCATTAAAGGGAATCTCTATATATAAAAGGCTAATATGCAAAGTGTCCCCTTGGGAGTTCAACTGGGAGACCCGGAGTTTGATCGCTTGCTATGATGTGCGCTCATCACCACGGGGCGGTGTGGGACAAAGGAAGGCCTTTGTGAGCAGCTGGAAGGCCCTGATTGGTCCTAATCACCAGCCAGGCCTAGGGACCCTACTCGTGCACGAATTTCATGCACCAGGCCTCCAGTTTAATGATAACTAGAAGCATCTCCTGAGGTCTCACGTATCTGATGGCTATGAATCTTGGTCCCTAAGACTTGTGTGAGTGGAATATCTTGAGTGATATTCCTTTCTGCCTTTTCCACTTATTTTGCCAAGTGGTTTGACATTAGCAATGCCCTGGAGACCAAACCAAGGCCCTTGTATTTTGGGTGCAGTAGGAAGGCGGAGGTCGTTTGGCTTTGTGACCATTCATAGTGCCTGAACTGAGAAATTGTCATCGTCTCCTGGGACATTTATATCTGTGCCCTTAAACCTCTTTATTTATTCATTATCTTTTTGAATGCATTTGGCTGCTGTACTATATTATTCACTTATAATTTTCCCTTGGTTCCATTAGGCCTTTAGCCAGGAACTGAAGGATGACTTTGTTGATATATTCTCCTTTATTAATTTATTCTTTTTTTTCTTACAAACTCTGAGTCTCTTTAGAAATGGCAAGACTAGCCTTGGCTGGTTTGGCTCAGTGGATAGAGCATTGGCCTGTGGACTGAGGTGTCCCAGATTCGATTCCGGTCAGGGGCACATGCCCAGGTTGCGGGCTCTATCCCCGGTGGGGGCATGCAGGAGGCAGCCGATCAGTGGTTCTCTCTCATCATTGATGTTTCTGTCTCTCTCTCCCTCTCCCTTTCTCTCTGAAATCAATAAAAATATTTTTTTCTTTTTTAAAAAAGGAAGAAATGGCAAGACTTAGTAATACCCCTGATCTACTGTCAGGGCCTGTAGCTTGAGTAGTTTTCTAGCAACTGTGATACTTTGAATCCCATTCTTAGGTTTAACTAAGTTTAGAAATGCTCTATGTCTTTGCTAAGCCTGAGTTATTTATTGTTGCAGATAAGATTGCCTCAGAGAATGAAATCAAGACCTGAGCTTTCTTAGTATTGTGCTGTAACCAACGAAACAAACTTTGCTCAATTTACAATGAACATTTTCTATCCTGGGACTCAGATACTCTGCTTTGGGATCTGGGGAGTTTATTTTATGCAATTTAGAACCATTTTTAAAAATGCTTTTCTCAAAATTAAGAAATGCATTCCTTTCTCTTCAAATATTAAAGAAGATAGTGTGGAATTACGTAAATTTACCAGGTGTACCGGTTAATAATGCGGATTTTGTAATCAAAGAAAACAGGATAATTTCAAGAGAAACATCAAAAGTGCTTTATTCAAAGTAATGTCCATCACTAGCTACACATTTCCCCCATCTTTCAGGTAATTTGTGGATACTGTCCCAATAGAACTTTTCTTGTTTTGAGGCAAACAATTCAGAGACCCATTTTTTCCACTTTTTCGTATGTTTTGAAGTGCTGCTCAGAAAGTGCATATGCCATCGATCCGAACAAGTAGTCATCTGAAGGAGCAATGTCTGGTGAATACGGCGGGTGGGTTAATACTTCCCAGGCAAGATCTTTTAACGTGTCTTTAACTGGTTTTGAAATGTTTGATGGTGTGTTATCATGAAGCAAAATTACTTTGCCGTGTCTTCTGGCACATTCTGGTCGTTTTACGATCAAAGTGTGGTTCAAATTGATTATTTGTTGTTG